TAGCAGTGTTATCATAGTACCTAGGGTTAAAAACCACACAGCTTCTAAATCCTCAATGTCCTAGAGAGGAGTAGGAAGTAGGGGTATGGTAAAATGTGCATTTCCTGATCCCAGCTTTCTATCCCTGATACCTATGTAGAAACCTGGCACTAGATCAAGAATGGACAGTGATGACAAAAGGGATGACACCCCAGCCCCAGTGGAAAGGCCTGTTCTGGGCTCTGAAGTTATGTCTACATTGCAATTAAACACCCACCGCTAACACGTGTCAGCAGTACTGGGTTTACCATGGCACCAATGGTTCTGTGGCGCCGGGCCCACGCTCAGAAGGGTCCCATAACGCCCGCCTTCTCCCCTCCTGCAGTACTGCGAGAGGCCCGAGAGAGAGCAAGCAGCAGCACCCTGGCTACCAACCTCCCCAGCCCCACTTACTCCCACACAGGCTGGCAGACTGCCAATCACCCCCGTCCCGGGATATACTGTACCAGGGCCCTGCTACATTCTATCGCCCGCACCGAGCCCAGAGACAGCCAACAACGCTCCAACTCTCATCCTCTGCCTGCAGGGATCCAGCCCGGAAGCCAAGAGCCCAAGGGATCCTGGGAGCTGTAGTTCCTTGGCCAGCTCCCAGCCTAGAGAGTCGGCCCTGGAGCAGGGAAGGAACTACATTTCCCAGCATTCCCTTGGCTACCGTGAACAGGAAAGGGAGGGGGAGGGAGTAGGGAAGCTGCCAGGGCTGGTGAGCCTGGATGCACCGGCTTGCTGTGAATGGGGAGCAGGCTGCGAGAAGAGGGTGGTACTGTGAGTGGGGAACATGTGTGCACAAGAAGTAGAAGGCTTTGGCCCAGATATTACGCTCAGAAGACTTCCCCAGACTGGATTAGGGATGCTGGTGGCCTCAGCCGGCAGCCCCCAAAGAAGGAATTGGGTGGAATGAATGGACAATGTGCCTCTTCTGAAGCCTAGCAAGGGAGGTATGTGGACCCCACCAGGAGAAGTTAAAATAAGTAAGAGAGGGAAGGCTCTACTTGAGCAGCTTTAGGTACAGTACCAGGCACACAGGAGGATGTGACTCAATTTCCACCTCTGAGAGACAGAAGCAGAAATTGGCTTTTCCTTTCCAGATTTATCTAATATTCAGAAAGGGAATCTAGCACCTGCCTTCCAGATTTGAATGCCATCAAAGTTCAGGAGCACTCAAGTTCAATTTGGGCCGTTCTCTGTTATTTCATTTCTCCCAAATCAAATACTGATCCACTGTAATTTGCTGTAGAAAAAGTAGGATAAAATTGAGCAACAAATCCTGACATCTTCCCAATGCTAACTAGGACCAGAATTGCTATTTTCAACAACCATTACCATTTTTTGTTTGTTTAAAAAGAAGGTGACAGTAATATTGCATTGGCAAGTTCTCCACAGAAACTAAGAGTGGAACAAAAGAACAGCAAAGGCACCTCAACTTTTCCTCATTATGTGGGACAGTCTTACAATATGGATCCAGATATCCTCTATTCACACAAACTGAAAATTGTTCCACTTTACTGCAGTTCTGTAACCATGCAGGAACTGGTCCTGCGTTCTGTGCACATTCAAAATTCCTACTGAATTCAGAAGTGCCTTGCTTTTGTAGCCATACCACCTGATATTTTCAAACCTTGTAAGGTAAGCAGGTTTGCATTTAATAATTGGGTGGGAGGCCTCTCAGAAAAAGTTAAGTGCTGCAGGAGGTGTTGATTGTTCACTAGGTAATGTGAGTCCCTCCTGTTTACAATAGTAAACCAGTGCAGCATAGTGTTTAGAATGCACTGTACTCCTAGGCCTGGTCTACACTAACCCCCCAATTCGAAGTAAGGTACGCAACTTCAGCTACGTGAATAATGTAGCTGAAGTCGACGTACCTTAGTTCGAACTTACCGTGGTCCAGACGTGGCAGGCAGGCTCCCCCGTCGACTCCGCGTACTCCTCTCGCCGAGCAGGATTACTGGAGTCGACGGGGAGCACTTCTGGGTTCGATTTATCGCGTCCAGACAAGACGCGATAAATCAAACCCAGAAGTTTGATTGCCTGCCGCCGAACCAGAGCGTAAGTATAGACAAGCCCCTAGAGTCTAGAATTAGTCCCTTTGCTTCTATACACAGCCTATTAAAGACAATGAAAAGACTCCCACTGACTTCAACAGGCTTTGGGTGGAACTGCTTATACATGGGGTAACTCAACTGTCTTCACAGGGTCCCAGTCCCACAGCAGGGGGGATGGTGTGAGCTTGTTGCAGAACTGCTGCTCAGGAATGGGGAATCTCCTGGTGCCCCAGCCTCGGAAATCATCCAGGCTGCACCTTCTTCACTATGTGTTAGCTGTTGGGTGCATAGGAATTGGGGGCCCCTGCTGCAGGTGATGGGCATCTCAGATACTTAAAGCCTTGACCTGGAGTAGGGAAGCACCTAACTGCAGAGTCTACGGCTGCCTAAGTCCAGTGCTGAGGATTGAGAGTCCCTAGTGCTACCGTTGCAAGGTTCGAGCGTGCTCAGTCTTGGAATTGCCACCCCTCCCGCAGCTAGTAGGTGCACCTGTCGAAGGCTGGACGCTGGCAATTGGCCCCATGGCTGTAGCCAGAGAAGCTACAGGTGGCTCTGTGACTACTGGGGGCCATTAAGGCAGGAGCAGATAAAGAAACTGGAGTTAACATCAAGGAACAGAGGTCACCAGTAGGAAAGGAATGTCATGGGGAGCAAGGAAAGTGGAAACAGGTCCGGTTTGCAGGGGGAGAATAGGACCAGCTGTCTGGGGAGCACATCCAAGGTAGAAAGGAAACAAGCATGTGGAGAGGTGGTGCTGACCAGGTAGTGGAATAGCATGTAAATGGGAGCAGAGGGAAAATGAAGGCTGGTGACTGCAGGTTCCCAGGGGCTAAGTGCTCACTGAGCCAGGGTTTGCAAGTGATGTTTGCAAGTGGCTTGCTCAAATAGCAGGATGGGTGCTGGCGGAGGAATTTGTCAGACTTGATCAGGTATCTGCTGGCTGTGGAACTTTATTGATCTGAGGCCAGGACCATATACAGTGGCTGGTGAAATAGTGTGGTACTGGAGATATGGCTATAGAATGCCTGAATGAGGAAGGAGATAAATCTGTGGGGAGTTACCCTGATCATCATGAAAGTTCTGCTCACTGTGGACACTGGTAGACCCACATGGGTACAGCTCAATGAGAAAAACTGGGGGCTGCAGAAGCTGTGTATGGCAATACACATAGTTAAGCAGAGGTGTGTGATCAAAATGAAAAAAATTTCTGAGATTCAGTACTGGGTATACTATGGTGCTGCCACACCAAGCCCACACTCAGAAGGGGCCCATAGTAACTACATGGGGGCACACAAGTATGTTTGGCACTGGGCCCACAAAAAGGTTAATCCGGCCCTGTATGTCAGCTGACGGGCTTGGGCTACATGACTGTTTAATTGCAGTGTAGATGTTCAGGCTCGGGCTGGAACCTGGGCTCTGATTCCTGGGGACAGGGGAAGAGAGAAATGGGCTGGTCACAGAGCCAGGCTGCAACCTGAGCATCTACACCATAATTAAACTGCCCCATAGCCCGAGCCCGCTGACATGGGCTGGCCACAGGTGTTTGATTGCAATATAGACATACCCTAAGGTTTCTATACCCAGCTCTGACCAACACCATCTCCCAGATTTTGGTAACACGCTAATAAAGCGGTTCAGTTGTAATCTGTACGTTTCTGCTTGGAGCACACAGCGCACAAGGGATGAATCCCCATCTCCAGTGATACTCTCCTAATTCTCCCGACAGGGTATTTATGGGCAAGGTTTCATTTATTATCAGCCATGCCAGAACAGGGAAAGAAGAATCTGTGAAAAGGGGTGACAGATGACAGACACGCACAGCAAAGGAGTGGTGCCAAGTCCTTTGCAGGGAAAAAGAAGGAAATGACGGATGTTTGTAATAATTCATCTCACCAAGCATAAACTGTGGACAGAAAAGAAAAGGTGGAGGAAACCCAGGAACAGCACATGAGCGAAAGGGAAGTGGAATCTTTGCAGCTGCAATGCAACAGGGTCCCCTGCAAAAGAGCTGCCAGAAATGCAGCATGTGGGAATACAAGCGAGTCTGGTGTAGCTACATAGGTGACATTTTATATAAGAACAGTGGTGGGGGACAGAGAGTGTGTCCCACCCCCCAATAGCTAACAAGGAGAGGTAGGAAGGTGATTCCTTCTGAATAATTAAAATAAACATGTATCTCCTTCCTTTAGCTTGAAACGATTAGATTAGTTTTCATGGGATAACATTCTCTCTGGCCAAACATCTGCCTACTTAGACAGTGCCCGTCACTGTAATAGGACACAGAAAAGAAGAAGGTCCTCATAGTAGACATCATGGTGCCATTTGAAAATAGGTCATCGGCCTTCCAAGAGGCCCGAGCTGGGAAGGCGATGAAGTACACCCCGCTGGCCGACACCCTGAGAGTCCAGGGCTACGAGCTCCAGCTACACACCCTGATCGTGGGAGCCCTGGGCTCATGGGACCCCCACAACGAGCCGGTACTGAAAGCGTGCGGAGTCGGTTGATGCTACGCCCGGTTCATGAGACAGCTCCTGGTGTCCAACACCATTAGGTGGTCCAGAGACATCTATATGGAACACATCATGGGACATCGCCAGTACCTGGTCAAGTAACCAAGACCGCTGACCAGAGAAATAACCCACTTCTTTCCCTGACGCACTCCACCCATGTACTTATTCGCTACACTGATACTGACTTGGACTCTTAATACTTTCCATGGGTGGCGTACCTGAGCCCACTTATCCAGTGACGCTTTAAAAACTCCCACATCCCAGTCTGGGTCTATGCTGGTTGTATGAATCTTGTGATCCTTGTAACCGATACCTATAATCCCTCATAACTCAAGCCTGACCCCAAATGTACAGTACCTCCCCTCTTAACTTGTGTATATTTAATTTTAAACATTAACTTTAATAAATTTTAAATCTGAAAATAGAAAATCCCAATAATCTCTCTCTTCCTTCCCCATTGGTAGGAGAAATAGCTTGATGAGTTTAGGGTATGTTGTTTGCAGGGCCGCTCCAGACACCAGCAAAGGAAGCAGGTGCTTGGGGCAGCACATCCGGGTCTTTGGTGGCAGGTCCTTCAGTCCCTCTCGGAGCAAAGGACCTACCGCCGAATTGCCACTGAAGAATGAAGCGGCGCGGCTGAGCTGCTGCCAAAGTGCCGCAGATCGGGGCTTCTCTTCTCCCTCCCCACCCCCCCGCTTCGGGCGGCAAAAACGTGGAGCCAGCCTGGTTGGTTGTTGTGGGTGCACACTGCTGTGAAGAGTTAGGGAGGGTAAGCTAGTTCAGAGGTAAGTTTTGCTTTCAATTCTGAATGCAGCTAGGTCCACTGTGATTCTTGTCTCTTGGGGGAGTGAGGGCTGTAGTTTGGCCACAGTGCACGTTCTGTCTTCTGCCCCTCCTATTGGTTGAGAGCTGCTTAGCTCCCATGGAATGTAGCTGTCAGGGGTCGTCTTAGTCACACAGAGAGACATGACCCCCCAGGTAGTACAGCCAGCCATATGGAAACCTGGAGAGTCAGGACAGAGCCTATATTCAAGGGGGAGCTAGCAGAGGGCACTGAGGGAAGATGTGTTGCTAAGTTTTGTTTCAGGTCATACTTGTGCGTTACCACCATGCCCTGTTGGTCACTCATTTCTGAACTTTGATCCCACACAATGAACTTGCCTGAGGAGGAATAATATGAGGAAGCCAGCACACAGGTACTACTGCATCAGCCCCATCAGACTTTTACATGCAGAAGGGACTAATGAAGGAGCCACAGCAGTAGCTCTGTTGTGGTAGTTGAAGAGAGGGAGCTGGAGGGTGGGGAAGTAGCGTGTATGTGTATTTCCTGCTCCTTCACTTATTTCCTCCCCCCCAAAAAATGATGTACTTTGTATATCGAGATTGAGTCCCTCTCCCACTTACCCCAGGGGACCCTGCTCATCCACTCCCCCCCCCCCTTCTTTGTCCCACTCCCC